AGTGCCATGGACTGCCAAAAGAACCAATAGATCTGTTTTGGAAGAAGTGCAGCCAGAGTGCTCCTTGGAGGCCAAGATGGCTAAACTTCGTCACTTGTACTTTGGGCATATTGTCAGGAGGGAAGAGTCACTGGAGAAAGATATCATGCTTGGTGAGATGGAGGGTTGGAGAAAAAGAGGAAGACCCCCAACGAGATGGATCGGCCAGGTGGCATCATTGATGGACTCAAGTGTGGCAGCAGTAGTGAGGTTGGCCCAAGATCGGACTTTGGTTCATTCTGCTGTGCTTGGAGTCGCTATGAGTCGGTTCCGACTCAATGGCACCTGACAACAACAACAACAACCTCCATTAATATAGGTCAAGTTCATCAAATTGTAGCAATTTACTCTCATTTCCTTTATCAAAAATTGTTTTGTTCTTTTTTTTTTAGGCTAGGTCACATGGGTAATATCTGCAACTTTGGGTGTTCTTGTGCACCTCCTCTCATTTCATATCAGCTGGATGCTTTAATCTCAGCTCTAGCCTTCTGTGGCTATGTCATTGTCCGTGGGCTCAGGTGTCCCCAGATCTCACCACCCTTTGGACCAACCAGCCCTTCCTCTTCTCTCTCTCATCTCCAGGTCAACGGGAGTCTGTGGAACGTGGTTGGACTCAGCTCATTTCTTTATTGCTGCCTTTCCCTCTCTTCTACTCACCAGTAGACCAACACGGTCGCCAGCAAGCTTACATGTCTGCTCATGTGTTCCCTTTGAGTTTCAGTCTTAGAGGGATGGACAACTAATATATTTTTTCTATTTATATTGTTGTTGTTGTTGTGAAGTGCCATCAAGTAGTTCCGACCCATAGCAACCCTGTATAGGGTTTCCAAGGAGCAGCTGGTGAGTTTGAACCGCCGACCTTGCACATCAAACGGCTTTGCAGTCTGGCGCATTAACCCACAGCACCATACCAGGACTCCATTTATATAGATGTTGTTTTTTGGTCCAGTGATGAGGATTTTTGTTTTCTTTACATTGAGGTACAACCCATACAAAAGGCTGTGGTCTTTGATCTTTATCAGTAAGAATTTTAAGTCCTCTTTGCTTTTAGCAAGCAAGGTTGTATCATCAGCATATCACAGGTTAATGAGTCTTCCCCCAATCCGGATGCCATGTTTTTATTTTTTTTACACTCCAGCTTCTCAGGTTATTTATTCAGCATACAGATTGAATAAGTGTGGTGAAAGTATATCATTCCAGGCTCACACCTTTCTTGATTTCAGATCATTCACATATACATATATACATTTCTGGATCAAAAGATATGCATTAAATTTTTTAAATTATTTTACAGAGATGATGATTCACTGACAGTGTATCATTCTTGTTCCATATTTTTGTCAATATTGTTTATCTAATTTTTCATTATTGCCAGTCTGAAAAATACTTCTTGCTAAT